CTGACAACGGTAAAAATTCATACCATCCTTCTGTTTCACATCAGGTGTAGGGCAGCAATACTCATGGAGTGAAAATTGTTTATTCTAATTTTCGATTTATTTTCCTGTGCTTTTAGGAGCTTATTGCGCCCTTGTCTTCATTTATTTACGAATAGTTTCTTTGGGCGATCGCTTTTATTAGAATATTTATGTATCTTGAGAGTTGCTTCCTGTTGCTGGCCTCGCGCGGTTTTTTTATTTTTTTCAAACTCTTACATCCTTGCCAGCTCGAGTTATTAGCTAAATAGTCACCTGTGATTATGAATGGATATTAGTAGAAGTCAGCTGGAAAAAGCATGCTTAATGCTGACTTGTGTTTCGTCAGATGTCTTGTAAAGATATGTTAGAGTTCAAGTGTGATCTACTACGATGATGCTAAATCGGCGCTGTAATTCTCATATGTTAACTGGATGATGATACTGTCAGATCAAAGATTCAGGGGTTCAGTGGATGAACCAGTCATTCTACGTTTCTTAAATTTGATTCAGTGGTGAATTGCTACTGCTGATCTGTCAAAAACCCACTATTAACTTATTTTCGAACAACCCGCAGGAGTGAGATTCATTTTTGGTCCTACCAGTATGCTAGTTTTGCTGTAAAATTGCGCGAATCAAAATGTACAATTTGTAGTTTGAACTGAAAGAGATGCAGCGACGTGATATGGAGGAGGCTGAACGAACCGGCGATTCGCTTCGTCGAGCTCCCCAGCGAGCAGCAGCAGCAGCAACAACAGTGGGAACTGCTGCTGCGCGGACGGCTGAAACTTTCCCAGCGGAGCGAGGCGTTGAGACCAGCGATGGTATATTTTGGATATTTCTATTAAATTGCTAGTTTGCTGTTGCGTTTGTCTGGATAATTCGGGATTTACACGAGGCCAGCTTAGCTTCCGCGGTCAGCGGTTCTACCGGAAGGACCGATCGTAAGGACGCATAGTTTGACATTTTAAGCATTTGATGTTTGATCATCGTGCTCCTCTTTGACGTCGATGCATTTGGCAATTTTTGCATTCTGCTTCTTAATGCTTACCTCGCTGCATCTGCATATCCCCGCGTAGGTGATGTTCAAGCGAATCTTCCGAATTCATTTGTGGCCCGCCTCGGTGTTCATTCGCTGTTGTCGAATTGTTGCTCTTTTTGCATTTATATGCTGCTGCTGCCGCGTAGTTGCTTTATTTGTAACATTTCAAATAGATAGTGTGAATATTGTTTTTCTACTTTCGACTTACTTTCCAATAATGCGCGCTGCATAATTTGTTGTGGAGCTAACATTCGTTTTGTGGGCATCACTGCATGCGCCTTTACAGGAATAGCATACATTTGTGTTCCATGGCCGCCCCTTCTTGTATTACTTTCTGGAAGAGTTGCATGCTTTTGCTGTAGTGTAAGTGTGCTGTGTAGCCTCGAAGATTTGCACAATTTTTTACAGATTTCAGCCATGATACAGCGGTAGGCAGCGGTGATTCTAGCGCAGTTCAGCGAAAGGCCGGTATGCCGCTGCTCGTTTCGTTTGGTTTGTCAGTAAAGAGGGACAGTTTTAATTACACTCAACAGCATGTAATTTTTGGAATTAGGGTAGTGGCCTTACCACTGGGAGACCTGAGAGTTGTTGCTCTCTTTCAAATTCACTGCTGCGCGTGTTGGGGTTGCGACTCAGTTCCACAGTTCGAATTAATTTGCGTTCGGGCTAAGTAATGTGAAGAATCAGTCTGTCATTGAGCATTTCTTGGGGAGAGCGTCCTGCAGTTACCCTTTTTACTTCTGTTTGGCTATCAGAAAGGTACCAAAGGATTATTTGCGCACAGTTTTTCGATAATAGTTGAGCATCAGGATTGCTTTATAAATTGAAAGTTTAGACCTAAAAA